TCCCCCTTGCCACTTGTAAACACGCGTATAAAATAACGTGCATAAAATATGCATTTTACGATGCAAAACCTAGCGACGCGCAGAGAAATGTAACGTGTCAAATACTGTTTTAAAATGGGCAACACTGTAGACAGTGTCGTTATGGCGCAAAACGTCGATCTGTTAGCGCACTGTGGGCCGACAGCTACAATGAAAAGGTGAGGGAGAGCAAACAACATCGACCTCACCCTATTCTCCGCACGTCGCAATTGCCAGAGACTTCGATTTTTACCCCATTGTATGCGACGTTGCGTGACAATATTCATATGCACTCGTTTCTATGTACGTCTATGTACTGACGCGTATCTACTGACGCTGGCTATGTTTATACTGACGCGTAGCTACTGACGCTGGCTATGTCTATACGGNTCGTGTCACAAGGTGACATACACGTCACACAAGGTGACATGGTCGTCTCACAAAGTGACATAGCTGTAAGCGAGCATGCCGATGTCTCCTGGATCACCCTGGCACCTGTCGATGACGTCAAGGTAGGTCTCTTGTGATCGTCACATCTTACAAAACTTGTGGTTGGACTTATTAAGCTAATTAAAAATATCCACTGGTTGTTATGAAAGATTATTTTAATGGAATTAGATTGATAATGATACAGGATTTTTAATTTGGTTTTAGCTAGCCTGAATTCTTGGCAATAATCACAAAGTTTTGAAGTAAAATAAGTGTGTAACTTTTTACTATTTAAGAAAAGATTTATATAGGTAATTACATCTTGCATTGATAAAGACTAAGTTGTAAGATTAGCCTTTTTAAGGGGGTATTTCTTGATTAGTGATATTTTTATCTTGAACGCTCATCGGTATATACAACCATAGAACCAGTAATTAGTATTCTTTTTCGCATTTACTTGTGTTACGGTGCAGCCAAAAAAGAGAAGAGGTGGATGGCCAAAGGGGAAGAAACGCAAGCCGGTACAAGAAGGTGAACCACCGAAACCACCAAAGACCCCGTGAGTGAATTCATAGCAGTGACTTCTTAATACAAAGAACAATAGTGGGACAGTGGGACACACTGTTCATGCATGTATAAAGAAAGGTAGTGCTTAAATGATGATGCCTCTGTGTACATTCATAATAGGACACTGTCCATTTTCCCATGTGTGGCATCCGTATTTCTATTTACTTTAATTCAAGTTTCACTTTTCTTATGTAAAAGCATTTACCCTTCATAGTACGTCCTTCCATAGACTTCTTCCTTATAGTATCACAGGCATAGGCATCTTCTAGTGTGACACACTCCCACAGGTGTCTCTGGTGTGGCACTACATGCTAACGGCATTTCGGCCGTGATAACACACTGTAATTGTATATCCACTGTAGCACTCTTCTCTCACGCCATGAAACTAGTGAAGCAGAATTTGGTAATGATGCCTAACCTAACATTGTAGGTACGTGATCTACTTCAAAGAGAGAAGGTGTGAGTTGCAGATCCAAAAATGCAAAGTGAATTGCTAACGCATGGTAGCAGTTACTGAATTGAAATTCACTGTGCAAAAGTGACAGAAACGTAGCAGATTAGACTTCTCCACAACCCATCCTTGGAGTCTTGACGTTCTGTGAGCCATGTCCCGTGGTTTCGATAATCGTATGATACCAGTATCCTATCCATCAAATGTCAACTACAGTAAACGCGGCGTGGGGTTCTCAGTTAAGTTACCTACCTTATTCAGATCCCAGGGCAGCAGACAAGTACCTGAACTACATGAATGTTTCTCAAAGGGATTCGAAACAGGCGAAAAGGGTCCATTTGCTAGATCGTCTACCCATTAACCAAGTGCTTTCTTCCGTGCTTATTACGTCGTCTTGGACAAGCCCGCGAGAATATTTCCCGATGACATTAACCCTTCATTATACTGCCCCTTTGGCATTGCAGAATTTAGTGAAGGACACCTCTGTGATAAGTAAGTTGCGCATTGCTTGTCTTCCCATCTCGCGTAACTGACGCCATCTGTTGAATCACGCGGTATTCAGTAATCCAGCCGCAGGTAGGCTGCTGAGCGGTATGACAACCGTATACTGCCTGCATGCCTTGTCACTATCAAAGAACCATATAGATCATTGAGCCGCTGTACGACACAGATCTTGTCTTTCTGGTTTACTATTCAGCAGAGGAACAACTGGCTGAATATGTATCATGTGAATGCTGGCATTCAGGAAAGGAAAGATACATTCGCTGTTATACAATTGGCGAATGAACTTGCCCAACAACTATGCGGCGTGTCTCCCTGCGCTCATGCCCTCACAGATGCGACAAAACCACATGTTCAATATGCGTTTGACCACGGATAGAGAAAAGAAACGGCGTACTCAAAACTTTGCCGAGAATGTTCTGACTACTGGCGGGATCAGCTCTGACAAGACAAAATCTCGAGGTAACGATATTCCATGAAAGACGACATAAAGGAGAGCATGCAACCACGATTAGTCCAATGTGTCCATTTTCCTCTGTCTAGCTAGCCATCACTACTCCTCTACGGGCAGAAGAATGGACACTTGATGTATTTGCGGTACATCATGGCTACAACGACAGACAAGGCGCATCCATGCTTCCTCGCAACAGAAACGCCTCTCCAACACATTGTCGCTGCGCGGCAATATGTACCAAACACGGATTTGGCAGGAGTCAATCCCAACGCAAGAGTGATCGAACCGGTTTGCCATGGTTGCGCTTGTGATGATGGAGCATAACACAGACGATGTTTCACCTCAGCCATCAGCTCCAGTTGAAGTCGAGACCTGACACATCTTCTATTTGCAAGACAAGATTGCTTGGAGTGCCGAGGAAGTGTCCTTGTCTCCTTGCCGGAGCTAAGTGCATCGAGCTTCTGTTCATGTAGCGACTGAATCGGAAACACCATACAGAAAAGGAAGTGGCACATTAGATTTGTGTTGAACAATTGCTATTGACTCATGGCCCACAGTGTTTATGTAATCCATTTAGCATTGTGAAACAGGGTTCATGCACCCATGTTGTACGCACGACTTCACCATGGCTTAACTGATTTTTTATATCAATGATACAGCCCATATCTGATGATAGCCTTCAAGTCAAGGTAGACCTAGATAACTGTTTATCCATGTATGTGGTGCAGTATCGCATGGAAACGTTCTTATATGTCAAAATTATCAAAAATTACAGATTTTTGTATATTTTTGGGCCCTATAACCCGCCTTTAACAGCATGAGAAACGCTAAGAAGTGCATTGCTCATCTAATTAAGTCACACACATAAAAATACAAAGTTGTACTGATATCATGGTTCCGGTCGTAAACATCAGTTACAAACACCTGCATGGCTGACATATTATAATAAAATATGCAGTACTGAAAAGTAGTTGTAAAGTCTGTCGCAAACAAAGGGTTAATCTACCATTGTTGTACCCGTTTAGCTCATGCTTCAAACTGCTTTATATCAATGATAACCAGACTGATGGATAGGCAGGCTTCATCAGGTAGACCTATGATACTGTTTACCATGTTATGGCATAATGCATGGAAACGTTCTTATTATGGTCAAAATTATCGAAAATTGACGAGATTTTTTGTATTATTTTTGGCGCTTAACGCCCTTAAACAGTATAGAAACTGCCTAAAATCATGATTCATCTATATTCAATCAAAAACATGCTGATAAACCATCAAGTTCTAGACAATCTGCACGGCTGATTTGATAAAATATGCAAGTAAACGGAATAAAGTAGTTTTCAGGTCGTCAAACAAGGGTAATGTACCATTTTACCTGTTTACCAATGCGAAACTAATTTTTTCCTCATAGCACATCTAGGCCCATGAATTAGAGTCAGATCTGACAACGTGATTAACATGATTGGGTGAAATAGTATCAAGAAAATATAGCATTATTTGTCGAATCGCCAAAAAATGGGCAAATTGGCTATAATTTTGCGCCCCTAAACCCTCTTAGGCAGCCATAAAAGCTGCCTTAAATACATTGCTACATATCTATTTCAATGAAATACATTGATATAACCATCAATTAAAAATATAATGGTGGTGATTCATAAAATAACAAGTAACTGGAAATGACATTTTTTTCAATTTTACCGAATAAAAAAAGGTGTAATTCGTCATGTGCCAAGGTGTGCGCAACTAACAACATGAGCTTTTCATAAACTAGGGATCCAGACTGTTAAAAGAACCATCTCCAG